TATCTATCTATCTATCTATCTATCTATCTATCTATCTATCTATCTATCTATCTATCTATCTATCCATCCATCCATCCATCCATCCATCCATCCATCCATCCATCCATCTATCGGGTTTTCAAGGCAGGGTTTCTCTGTAGCTTTGGAGCCTGTCCTGGAATTTGCTCTGATCCACCTATAATGTTGTTAACTCAGCAGTAGAGAGGTAGAGACAGGAAAAATAGGAGTTAAGGTCATCAATGGCTACAAAGCGAGTTCAGAGACAAACTAGGATACACAAGAACCTGTCTCAAACAAAACTTCCCCCTCTCAAAAAAAAAGAAGGTTGTTTTAAGACATGACAACTATCTTTTTAGTCAAAGACTTTAACCAGTACAGATCCCTGGTAATAAGAGGCACTGATATAAATTGTTCAAATCTGCACAGTTGCCTGTCAGGTACAAAGCCAATTTTCTAAAAAAGACAAGCAAGGTTGATATCCCAGACTGCATACTCACAGAAACAGTGACTGAATCCTGTACATCTTTATGACTGACCAACTGAACATTGCCATCTTCATAGTAATGAACCTGTGAGAGATAATATTTGAGAAGGGTTATGCATAGTTCATGAAGAAATGTATGTAATGCTGAGGGAACAATTTTTTAAAAATATCTATTTATTTATTTATTATGTATACAGTATTCTGTCTACATGCATGCCTAAAGAGGGCACCAGGCCTCATTACAGATGGTTGTGAGCCACCATGTGGTTGCTGGGAATTGAACTCAGGACTTTTGGAAGAGCAGGCAATGCTCTTAACCACTGAGCCATCTCTCCAGTCCCTGAGGGAACAATTTTTAACAACTCCGAATAAATAATATGATCAATGACAATTCACAATGGTATGAAAATAGTATCAAAAATCTTCTGAAGAGACCTTTAAGTTTAACGAACATGCTTGCTCCATTATAGGCACTGAACTATACATGATGATACAAATGCAACACTGACATTCTATTTCTTTTGAAACAGAGTCTGGCTGGTCTGGAATTTGAGGCAATCATACAAATCACACAGCATCTCCCAAGTGCTGGGATTACAGTAATGAGCCACCACAAGTGACAAGATCCTACTCTAACAGTATCAAAATAATTAAAATGAAAATCACTGAGCATCAGATTTTATCCATGAAAATCAAGGACTCTTAATGAACCCTAGTACCTAACTGAGATATTTTCCCTTTTGCATAATTACTAATATTGGCAAGGAAACCACATTGTGTTCAGGAAAAACTTAAAGGCTAAAGGGAGGACTGAAAATCAAAAGTTTATTAGTAAGTCACAAAAATGAGGAGCTGAAAAGATGGTGCAGTGGCTAAGAACATTTGCTGCTCTTGCAGAGGACCCAGGTTCCATTCCCAACATCCACCCGGCAGGTCAGAACCACTCATAAATTTATGATATGATATTCTCTTCTGACCTCCTTGGACACCAGGCACACAAAAAGATACAGAGACACACATGCTGGTAAAATATCCATCCACACAAAATAAAAATAATATTTTAAAAATTACAAGAATAAGTGTTGGGCTATTGAGAAGGTTCAGTGGGTAAAAACTCTGCTTTTAAGCCTGATGACTTGAGTTCAATCCCTGGAACTACATGGTGGAAGGAGAGAACCAACTCCCTCACGTTGTTCTCTGGCCTCCTTGGATGCACTATGACACATTCACCACCCCTTCCCCATAAATACATGTAAAAAGCTGTATGATGGAAGTATTTTTGTAGCTACAGATGTAGCTTAGTGATAGAGCATTTGCCTATTTCACACCAGACCCCAGATTTGATCTCTAGCCCCACAACACAAAACAGCAACATAGTCGTGAATATGTAAGGTAAAGTAATGAGCTACAATCAAAAATCAGTTTTTAAGAGGGAAGAATACAAGTCATATCACTAGATAGATCTAAGACGTGCAAGGCTCAGAGATTTGGGCAAGTTACAAGATTCATTCAACTCCCTTAAAAGGACTATAAACTGGCCATGCAGAACATGATTAGGGAAGCTATTTGTAAAATGGAAAACAAATAACAATAACAAAACCCCAAAACTGAACAGGATCTTGAACATAAGAGCGGTCCCCTCAGCAGACAAGATGGGGTCACCCAGCAGGGGGCTAAGCATCAGAATGGAGCATACTGGTTTAGTTGAGGGAAGGACAAAGACCTCACTATATGAACAGATGTGAAACAAATGTATCAACAGACTCGACTACCAAGTTGAAGCTAGATGGTGAAGAGGTTTTGCAAACACCTTGAGAACCAAATCAAGAATTCAAACTTTATCTTATTAGCGGTGATGGGAAGAGTGTCCTGATGTCATTTTCTTCACTTAGTGCTATGGACTGAACGTTGGTGTCCTCCCCAAATTCAGCAATAGCATTAGCTAGAAAACACATAATCAGGGGTGGTGGGCTCTGAGAGTTCACAGTCTCATCCTGCTTTCAGTTTGCTCTTTTGCTTTTTGCCCAAGGTTGAGAATGTGATCTCTAAGCTTCCTGCTCCAGCTGCCATGTCACTTGCTACTCTGCCTCTGTCATGACTCTTCCCTCCTTGGAACCATAATCTTTCTTCTGTAAACTGCCTATGGTCATAGTGTTCTATTGTGTCAAAAGAAAAGCACCTTATACAAGTGGGAACTATTAATTTGCTGTTTATAAATTACCCAATCAGAAGGATTTTGTTACAGCAATCTAAATAGAATCTTTACTCCTGCACACACTTGAGCAAAAGGCATCTTATTTCCTTTTCAAGCCCATCATTGCTGCTTCTGCCTGCCTTGGTCTGCCTGTAGCTGAAGATCAACAATTATTTTTTTCTGGTCTAGCCCTAAGGATTAAATATAGGACTTCCCACATGTTAAGTAAGCACCCTGTCAAAGACCTACAATGCAAGGCCAGACATGTGTTTTCAGAGCTAAAGTAGAAAAGGCAGGTATGGTGGTATGATGAATGAATGAGCTGAAGCAAAAGGATGCTGCCAAGATGGACTAGACAGTGAATTTGGGGCCAACATGGGCCACAGGGAGAAATTCTACCCCCCAAAAAACAAAACCCCAGACCACAAAACAACAAAAAAGAATATGTAACTAGTTTGAACTTCTGTCACAGTTCTTTTTAATTTTAATTTCTTTTTTTCTTTTGACAAAGTCTCACTCTATACTTCCTGCCTCAGTCTCCTAAAAAGGTAGTATTATAGCTCTGGGCCATGATGATCTGTTATGCTTCTTAAGAATTACAACACGGAGCTGGGCAGTGGTGGTGCACACCTTTAATCCCAGCACTCGGGAGGCATCAGCAGGAGGATCTCTGTGCACTCAAGGCTAGCCTGGTCTACAGAGCAAGTTCTAAGACGGCCAGGGACACATAGAGAAACCCTGTCTTGAAAAATAAAAACAGAAACAACAATAAGAATGGAAAAGAATAGAAGGGCAGTGAGCTTCAATGTTACAAACTCAAATGAAAATCTGAAAAACACCAGTTTTATGAGCATGTTACACCATGTTATAGCAACGACAATGACTTTAGATTCAACTTAAACTCTACTTGCTCTAAAGCAGAACCATCTCCACAATTCAGTTACTAATGAAACAAAACCAAAACACAACAAAGTCCCACTGACTATATAAACTTCAATGTGCCTGCTATTAATTTAAGTCTTTAAAAATGATTACTTCTCAGAATTACACTTTTATCTATAGAAAAACAAATTTGACAATGGAAAATATAAAAGGTAAGTATCTAGATAACTTTTCCAAATAATGTTCAATATATATGACTTTTACTTTATTTTAAACCAAATCATTTATTGAGTGCATACGTGTTCATGTATGGAGGTCAAAGGACAGTCTGCAGGAGTCAGTTCTTCCCATCATCTGGGAACTGGGTATTAAACGCAGGCCACCAGACTGGAGAGCAGATAGGTGCCTTTATTTGCTGACCATCTTGCTAGTCCTTATTTTGACTATTAAAAGGAAAGTAAATGGCAGGCCCAGCTCCTAGAACTTGGGAGGACAAGGCAGAAGATTGGGTATATGTGACACTCTGTCTCAAATTAGAAAGAAAAACAAGTCATGTAGTGGTATAGGCCAGTTATTCTCAGCATTTTGGAAATGGAAGCAGGAGGACAGGTATTCAAGGCTCACAATTGCTCTAGGCCAGAAGAGGAAAACAAGAGACTCTGTCTTAAAACCACAACAATCCCAAAACTCAGTGTTGGAAATTTTGCTTAGTGGCAGAGAGCTTTTTTTTTTTTAGCACCCCGAGTTTTATCCCAAGCATACAAATAAATCCTACTTGGTGGCCAATGCCTACATCCGAAGAGGATGAGGCAGGAAGATCACTTCAAAGTTATCTTAAGCTATATAAGAGCAAGTTCAAGGTCAGCCCAGGTGCTACAGGAGACCCTGTCTCAAAAAGACAGCAAAAAAACCCTTAAGTATAAACAAAGAGGCGTTAGGCCTTTATATAAAATTTTGTCAGGAATCGTCACTCTGTGCATATCCTAACTATAGGTTTCTACTGGAAAAGATAGACCACAAATTACTGTTTCTGTCTGAAAAAAATATATTTACATAAATATATAGCAATTTGCCTAATTAAAGATAGTTATAAAAAGTCTGAAGTATCAGGCCACATTGTGGATTTAATTGTCAAAACCAGAAAGATAGCTTTGTTATTTTCAGTTGGGCTCTCCATGAAGAAGGTCCCAGGAAAAAGATGTGAGGGGAAGTAGCTACCATATTTGTGAGGTAATCTACTTAAGAAGCACTAGCAAGAAACCAGTGTAACCAGGGGAAGTTTTGCAAGGACACTGCTGGGCTGGTTGCAGCTGTGGGCACCAATCTCTGCTGCCAGAACGTGCCCAGTATTATTCTATCAGTAGGTACAGGTTACCATATGTATCTATCAGCTCATAGAGTTCACTGAAGGTTATTCTCAGAGAAAAGATCCAGCATTTCTATCCTGTCTGCCTGAGCTGGAGTATGCTCCTGAGGCCAGAAAGGTAAAGATGTAGATAATAACATAAATGTAGTAAAGATGAATGCCGACAGCACCTGCATGTATGTAGTAGGCTTTACATGCTCCTTTTTTTGGTGCTGGGGACAGATCCTGGGCTTGTCCATGTTAGGTTAGCCCTCTATCAGCAGACTACATACCTCTCCCGCAGGCATGCTTTTATTTAAATCATACTTTGAAAATGCAACTCTTGCTCATTTTTTATTAAAGGCAACACAATACAATATAGGTATGGTTAGAGACTGATAGTATAATCTATCAGACTTATTTAGTCTGGCCTCAGTTAGCTAGACTGAAAATAAACCACCTGAATTAGAGTGTCACATCTCTTCAAAGATACCAGGATAACCCACACAAATAGCAACCATTCAGCTTCCTCTGTCCTGACATGAGCATTAAAAATCTGCTCCACTTGACTACTGATATTCCAGGAGATGACAGGATCGGGATGTTCTCTAGAACCTCTCTGCTTTAGTTTAAGTTTAATCAAAAACTTTTCTGTTCTCTGTAAGTTCAAGGTCAGCCTGGACTACAGAACAAGTCCCAGGACAGCCAGGGCTACACACAGAGAAACCTTGCCTCAAACAAAACAAAACAAAACAAAACAATCTACTTTTCTGTCAAAAAATAAAAGTTCACCAATAAAACTCTTTTTTTTAAAGATTTATTTATTTATTATGTATACAGTGTTCTGCCCGCATGTATGCCTGCAGGCCTAAAACTGTTTTTAATTTAAAAAAAAAAAAAGGTACAGTCTCTCTACATAGCCCTGGATGTCCTAGAACTCACTATGTAGACCAAGCTGGTCTTGAACTCACTGAGCACCACCCCTCCCCCAAGCCCCTGATTAAAGTGTGCCACCATGCCTGGTACCTAGTTCCCTCCTAACGTCTTAATACTCACTTACTTTATTCTTTCCTACTGCTTGATTATTCCTAAAAGACCTTGTTATCCTTGAATGAAAAAAGTAACCCAGCAGTATGTGCTATAGTCATCCTCCATCAACCCAGAATCCTCTTCTCAAGGAGCTCCCGGGAAGGAGGCTCCTACTTCCATTCCCTGCTACTGACCTCTTTTTCACATCAATATATACTTTAGTGAGTGCTCATGGTATGGAAGTGCTCTATTAGTCTTTATTTCTAATACCAGAAGGAAGAGCAAATGACACCTTTATTTTAACCATCATCTACACATACATTGCCCTCTTACCTGAATCTTGAGCACTCCAACGACCTGGGCTGTAGGTGGTGTGATGGTGAACTTCCACTCTGACCGCCAACGACCATTCCTATAAAACACAGCATACACATGATGTTGCAGGATTAGCAGCAGGCACAAGAAAGAGGTGATCTGACACAGAAGTTTGCAACACTGGTGGTGGGAGCTATTTTCAATGCGACAAACTCAAGATTGTCAATCTTGAAACTCCTGTTCTGATCATAGTCAGGAGATCCTGCTTTAGGTGCACTAAGTTGTACAATCAGCCCCAGGTATGGACAACTCCAACTCAAGGAAAACCGAAGACTTTCAACTGCATACTTTGTGAATCACATACTTGCTGTGGGAATTAATTCAGCTAATAGCTTTTGGGGTACTGGCCCTTAGGGCATGGTACTATGTGTGGACTGATAAGCAGGGTAAAGAAATGTGCTTGCTCTCTTGGGAGGTCAAAGCAGAAGCAAGTTTATACTGTTGTTCATATTTTCCTGGGGCAGAGTGGCAAGACACAGGAGCTGGTTCAGTGTTCTGTGTGTTTGTGGTTTTCCTTTGAATCCCATTTCCTTTGTATCTCCATAATAAAGGTAATTTGTAACTCTTGCAATACCACTCACATTATCAGGCGTCCAATATTTAACATTCCCTGTGGGAAGAATATCCCTTGACTGGCTGAGAATTATTCTAAATAGGCACTGTGAAAGCAAATTTTTCCCTATCATTTTCTTATAAAGGTATAGTGAAGAAATAGTCTTTTAAGTCAATAACTATAATAGCCCATTCTTTAAGTAACAGAGAAGGCAAAGGAATTTCAGGCTATAGAGAGCCTGCAGGCTGAAATACTTTATTTATGGCTCTTAGGTCTGTCAGCGTTCTCCATTTTCCAGATTTCTTTTTTAAGAACAAAAACAGGAGAATTACAAGGGCTAGTAGATTCTTTAATATGTCCAGCATTTAGCTGCTTCTGAACCAGCTGTTCTAAAGCCTGTAGCCACTTGAATTACATATTCTCACTCAGTATAATAAACAGTATTTTTCTTTTTCTTTCTTTCTTTTTTTCTTTTTTGGTTTTTCAAGACAGGGTTTCTCTGTAGCTCTGGAGCCTGTCCTGGAACTAGCTCTTGTAGATTAGGGTGACCTCAAACTCACAGTGATCCGCGCCTCTGCCTCCCGAGTGCTGGGATTAAAGGCGTGCGCCAATACCACCCAGCTAGCAAACAGCATTTTTCAAAAAGAAACATTATAAAAGTCTTAGAAATGAAGCCAGGACTGTTTGTTACAAAGAGAAACCCTGTCTTGAAAAAAATTATTAGTAAATAAAACTAGAACAACACACACACACACACACACACACACACACACACACACACACACACACGAGAAAAACAGTCTTAGAAATGGAAGGATTAAATCCTTAATTTTAAAGATGGAGAAATAAAGACTCTAAATCAAATAATCTATCCCAAGATAGTTTGAAAATAAAACCTCAGTCACTAATTTTTTTTTCAATATAAATTATATACATATAGAATAGAACATCTATTTCTTACCAGAAGTTTTTGGGCTGAAACTGGTGGCTTTCAATACATGCAATAATGGTCTGTTGTCCATCTATAGTTTTAGCATAAACCTATTGGTGGGAGAAAAAAAGTTAAAAATGAAAAACATATTCACTCTATAGTAAACTGTACAAAAGCAGAATGCTAAATTGAAATCTTTGAAGAGAGCAGAGTCAGAACATGCTTTTAACACAGGCCTTCCTGGGATACGAACACAGTAAATCCTAGAAGGCTACTGCTTCTGACTTAACATACTGTAAGATACCATTTAGGCTGGGTCTCACAAAATATGTGCATTTCTGACAGGCAGAGAAAAAGGCTAAAGACAAGTCAACAGCTCAGTCAGGAAACCAAGGACATGCAAACTGGCAACCAGTACTGCCAGGTTAGCAGAGCTGTGTGAGATGTACTAGTGGGAGAAAATAAACAGAAAAGGGGAGATTAAATAGAAGGTAAAAAGTTTAGATAGTATTCTACAAACAAGAGACAACGAAACAAGACCAGAATCATTATTTTGGAAGAAATATCAATACTGGTGCAGAAGATAAAAAGCTTAAGGTCAGTTAGGAGGCCACAAATTAACCTAGGCAATAAATAGTCTAGGGCACTGTGGATGAGAAGGGAAAGAAAGGGTATTACACAGAATGCGAATGCAATGATACAGTCAGAAGTAGCGCCGACTAGTTTTATGTCAACTTGACACAGCTGAAGTCATCTGTGAGGAAAGAACCCCAATAAAGAAAATGTCTCCATAAGATTGGGCTGTAGGCAGGCTTTAGGGCATTTTCTTAATTGGTGATTGATGGAAGAGGGCCCTACCCATTGTGGGTGTTGCCATCCCTGAGCTGGTGGTTCTGATTTCTACAAAGCCGGCTGAGCAAGTCATGGGAAGCAAGCGAGTAAGCAGCACCCCTCCATGGCCTCTGTATCAGCTCCTGCCTCCAGGTTCTTGCCCTGCAGAGTACCTGCCTTGACTTCCTTCAATGACAGACTACAATGTGGAAGTATAAACCAAACAAAGCCTTCCTCTAAACTTGCTTTTAGTCACCGTGTTTCTTCCTAACTAAAACAGAAGTCTAGTTGTATGTTGTTATCAAAGGGCAAAGGGAAAAAGAAGTCAAGTATTTCTACACCTGAATGGTGTGGACCAATGTGGTGCCATCAGCAGATTGGGAAACCCAGATGAGAGCTTTAATAGCATTTAGAAATATCAACTCTCAGAGTGGAAGTAATAGTGATGTGAATAGAAATGCAATCACCAAAGACAGCAAAGCAAACATCAGTACTTTAAAGTCTCAAATGTATTTGTAGTGTTATTTTTGTTTCTGTTTGTCTGTTTGAGACAGGGTCTCATTCTGTAGCCCAGGTTGGCAATCTTCCTCCCTTAGCACTCTTAAGTGCTGAAATTCTAGGTGTGAGCCCACACTCAGACTTTGCCTATATTAACTGCACTATAAACTCTGTGGCTTTTGTTTTCTTGGTTTCATCGTGAAACAGTACCTCATACTCTGTTACTCATGCTGGCCTGAACTTATAACACACAATGTAGGCCAAGATGGGCATCAAACCTACATCAATTCCCTTTTATCAAGTTCACAATTGCTGGAATTACAGTCATGATCCCTGATACCTGGTTAGACCATAAACCTTCAGAAAGAGAAATCTAACTTTGGAGAATGCCTAAATGCAAAATACGGAAGACAACTGATGGGTGTTGGCAAAGCAACTTAGCAAAAAATCATTTCGGAAGCCCGTATGTGAAATGTCATATAGAAATTAAGGAACCGCCAGGCAGTGGTGGCGCACACCTTTAATACCAGTGCTTGGGAGGCAGAGGCAGGCGGATCTCTGTGAGTTTGAGGCCAGTCTGGTCTACAAGAGCTAGTTCCAAGAACAAACAAAACAAAACAAAAAGGAGAGAAAAGAAATTAAGGAGTCATTTGGCTGGCTCCGTAAAGAAAGCAGTTTGTATAGAATGGCAAAGACAATGAAAAATCAAAGGTTCAGACTTGTACTGCTAATGAGTAAATACACTAAAAGGGAAAAATGTCCTTGGTTACCTGGTGGAACACGGAGTGCAAGCCTGGGGAAAGGAGAAAACAGAGAGGAACAAACAGCAGGTACAAAGAGGAGGTTAAAGAAACAAACAATTTATAGGAATTATTGTGACTGAGACAGGTTTACCTCCTTTTAAAGACAAGAGAGTTAAGACTTTCTAAATTTGGGCATGGTGGCACATGCTTGTAATCCCAGCACCTGGAAGTTGATACAGGAAGACGAAAGAAAGCCTACATGAGATTGTCTCAGAAACAAAACCAAGACCATATACCTAGGTAATGGAAGAAAATACCAGAAGAAAAAACAAAGAATATACAGCTATCCCGAAGACAAAGGTTAGTATAAAATCAAGAAAAAAATCCTTCTGCCTCAGATTCAAGTATAATAGAAGGAAGAATAAGATTTATGACTATGGAGAAACAAACACAATTTCAGTCAGTCTTAATTCTAATTAGATGTAGTAGATTAGATGCCCATCTGACAATAGAAAATGTCTAATGACAGAGTGATATGAAATTAGGAGCATCTAAGGATGCTAAGGATGTGGGTTACTAGGATACTGCTGGCAGCATTGGGGCAATTCTATCACCTTCTGTTGCTCATATAACTCAAAGAAATGAAAAAGGGTCTCAGGGTTCTTTGGCATTGAGCTCTCCAGATTAAGAATGTAAATGGACAGGCAGGGTGGTAAAAGCCTTTAATCCCAGGACTCTGGAGACAGAGGTAGGTAAGATCTCTAAATTAGAGGTCAGCCTGGTCTACATAGTGATGTCTAGCCCAGCCAATGCTACATAGTGAGATCCTGTCTCCAAAACAAACAAATAGAGACAGGGAGGAGAACTTGAGGGAACAGGATAGTCAAGATGGGGGAAAGACAGAAGCAGAGAACAAGAAAAGATATATCTTGATTGAGGGAGCCATTATGGGACTAGCAAGAACCCTGACACTTGAGAAATTCCCAGAAATCCACAAGGATGACCGCAGATAATACCCTAGCAATAGAGGAGAGGGTACCCAAACTGGCCTTGTCCTGTAGCCAGATTGATCACTATCTTAAATGTCACCACAGAACCTTCACCCAGGAACTGATAGAAACAAGAGTCAGAGACCCGCAGCGGAGCACTGGGCTGAGCTTCCAAAGTCCAGTCGAAGAGTGGGATAAGTGAGAATATGAGCAAAGAGGTCAAGACCATGATGGGGACACCCACTGAAACAGCTTACCTGAGCTAATGGGAACTCACCAACTCTGGCCGGACAGGGAAGGAACCAGCAGAGGACCAAACTGAATATGGGTGACAGTTGTATGGCTGAAGCAGAAGTGAGGGGCCACTGGCAGTGGGACCAGAGTTTATCCCTACTGCTTGTATAGGCTTTTTGGAACCCATTCTCTTTGGAGGAATACCTTGCTCAGTCTAGATATAGTAGGAAGGCCTTGGTCCTTCCTCAAAGCAATGTGCCTTACCCTCTCTGAGGAGTGAATGGGGGGTTGGGGGAGGGAGATGGAGGGAACAGGAGTAGGGGAGGGAGTGGGAACTGGAACTGGTATGTAAATGAAGATAGTTTTTTCAATAAAAATAAAAAAAAATAAAAAGGGACAAACTTTGAATGGAAATAAATGGTAAACTGCAAGTACCTTTAGATTAGATAGTTGATGTCTAAGAGAGAATATATTGTTTCTTTTCCTGAAAAATGTTTGAAAAAGAAATCTGTACTTAGCTACAATGATGTGTTTCCTTTATTATTTAGAAAAGCCCCAACAGGAAAGAATAATGGCATCTTTCACTTATGTATAGCTCACATTGTACCAGACACTATCAACATCTTCCATTAACTTATTGAATCCTCACAACATTATGTTTTATTATATAAATAAGGAAACTGAGGCACAGAGATGTTAGTTAATTTAGGGTCACAACTAGTTAAATAGCCTGATTAGGATTTAAATCAGTCAGGCTTCAAAGTGCTCTTAACTAACTATATTCCTATTAAACTCATTGTTTTTTTTCCCTTGGAACTCACTCTGTAGACTAGGCTAGCCTTGAACTTAAAAAAGATTTGGCTGCCTCTGCCTCCTGAGTGCTGGGATTAAAGGCATGTATCACTACTACCAGGCAAACTCATCAAATCTAACTAGTAACGATGTGTAGATTTTCTCTCCCTCCCTCGCTCCCTCTAGCCAGGTGTGGTGGTTTAAGCTTGTAATACTAGTACACAGGAATCTGAGGTAGGAGGATCACCTCAAATTCAAGGCTAGATTAGGCTATAGAGTGAGGTCCTATTTAAAACAAAACCAAGAGGAAAAGTAGGAAAGCTAACATAGTCCCAGTTTCTACACTTAACTCAGTCATATTACAGCGTATTATTTCAAAACATCACATTTTACATGTTATAAACAGATACAATTTGTCAGCTAAAAAGTTAAAAACGCAGGCAGGCCTGATGCAAGCCTGGATTCCCAGCTTGGGCAACTAAGACAAAAAAGACAAGATTCAAGGTCAGCTTGGACTATAGAATAAGTTTCAACTTAGTGAGACACTGGTTCAAAACAAAAACTAGAATGAGAACTGGGGACACAGATAAGTGGCAGAATGCTTGCCAAGGCTGTGCCAGTCCCTAGTTCAGCTTACAAAAAAAAAGTAAAACACATTAAAACTAAGCATGATGCAACCAACTATAATATACAGGTATTTTATATTATTGTGTACTATATTTTTTTAAAAAATTTTCTACGGCTGGAGAAATGGTTCATGAGAGCATGTGCTACTTTAGTAGAGGACTCAGGTTCAGTCTCCAGTATCTATATCAGATGGCTCACAAACACTTGCAACTACAGGGGGTCAAATATTTCTGGCTTGGGCTGGAGAGGTGGTTCAGCGGTTAAGAGCACTGACTGCTCTTCCAGAGGTCCTGAGTTCAATTCCCAGCAACAACATGGTGACTCACCACCACCTGTAATGAGATCTGGTGCCCTCTTCTGGCCTGCAGGCATACATGTAGACAGAACACTGTATACATAATAAATAAATAATTTAAAAAAAATACCTCTGGCTTCCAAGGGCACTCACACACAACCTCTACCCTCACACACAATCTCTACCCTCACATATAATATAATATATATAATTATATATTATATACATATAATATATATATATATATATATATATATATATAATAGAAATAATAAAAGGAAATGTTTTTAAAAGAACTTTTTATATACTTATATTCCTCTAGAAATGATTCAGGGAAGTGACCATAACCAAAAGAAAAGATGTTTGGTGGCCAAAGCTTCAAAAGGATAAGGTAAATGTAAGAAAAATGAGTCCCAGAAGTTGGGGAGGACCAGGTAGATACTTAACAGTAGAGAAGCCGTTGGAATAGTGCTCTTTCACATAGGCTCTTAAAGCACTGTCACAGGATTCTCTCCAAGACTTCAAGCCTCCGTCCACATCTTCTGGCTGGGGGTCACTCGCTTCTTTCCGTAAATGATCAAACTTAAAGGAAATTTTGTGTCTTGGATCTAAAAATCTGCTGTTACCAAGGTCGCCGTGCTCTGTAATTAAGACCTTCCAGAGAAGAATTACAAATATGAGTAACTCTATTAAAAAAAAGACAATTCTTGTCATGCTTTGCAAAAAGAAATAATAATAAATATCCTAGGAAAGTTAACTTTTCATTTCTTTTCTTTTTCACATTGACTTTTAAATCAAGTATCATTTTTATTCTCATAAAAGCACTATATTTATAGACAAACTTCTCCTCCCTATATTAAATATATAATTAAACAATATATTGTTTAAAAAAAATATTTTTATTTCTATCTAATTTTTTTCCCATGTGTTCATTTATTCCTAGCTATAATACCAACTTTAACGTATTTATTTTCACATATTTATGAAACTTTTCAGGGCCACTGTGTTATTGTGAACACTTAAGAAATACAGCTACATAGTTCATAAATGTATTAAATGAAATCTTTTTCTCACGCCTATTTCCTAACTAGCAAATTCCTCGAATAACTTAAACTAGTACAAATTTAGTGTCTCCTGGTATTTTGCTAGATTTTCTTTCTTGGTAGCTCTCTGGAACCCAGGGATTGTATATGCATAGCTTATAACTGAGTTACATATCAAGTCAATGGCATTCTTTTCTCTATTAAAAAAAACACCTAGTAGTACCAGAAAGAGGAAGAATCTCTTAATATACAGACTACTTTAAAACCTGAGACATAAATATATTTGGCACCCAACTTACTATCTGTTGATGATGTCTACATCTCTATCACTTGCCAACCACATACTAACTATCAGATTATTTAACCATCTCAAGGAGCAGTTATTATTACCTGGTCATCATAGCCTTCTATCTTCACAGGTGTGAACTGATCCATGTTATACTGAGCAAATGCACTATTAAAAAAAAAAGAATTGAAAAAATAAATATCTCCTGTTTACCAGTTTCTTAATCCAAAAACTTTGGAATTATCCTTAGCTTTTCTTTCTCTGACACTTGACATTCAACCCACCAGTTCTATGGTAAGTATGATCAAAGTTTGACTCCCCCATGTCTACTGTTTCTGCTCTAAATTACATCTATCTCTCAACTATTGTCTTGCTTCATTCAACCTCTACCCCTCACACAGTTATCAGAATACATAGCTAGTGATCATTGTAAACCTTAAGTCTTACCATGTCATTCTCTGCTTAATACTCTTAACAGTGTCATCTCACTCAAAATGAAATTCCCTCTTCAATGTGACCTATAACATACTACTTATACCAGAAAAGCTGGGCACTATCAGGGAATGGTTCTGTGGTTAGAAGCATTGGTGCCAAAATAATAGGAAAGAAGGTAAATCCTAGGCCAATCTAATGCATTATCTATGTATATTTTATACCCAGCTATAATAAGTCTCCAGTTTATAAAAGAAGCAATAATGATGGTGAGGATTTCTGAAACACCATGTACTAGACACCAGAAAGAGTCTGACCAAAAGACTAAAGCATTTCATTCCAGAAATAAGGTGAACTTTTCATACCCATAAGAAAAAAAATCAAATTATTTGGGTACAGGAAAATTCTCCTTTAACAAGTAGGTTCTCCAAACCTGAAATCTCTATGAATTTGAACACACACACACACACACACACACACACACACACACACACACACACAGCGTTTTAGTGTCTGTCAGTATAATTAAACCAGCAGACACATCTGAACTAATTGGTTATCGACATAACCAGTACTGATTAGAAGTAAGGACAACTATTGTGTTTGTTTTGAGTTAGAGTACCATTCCTCAACCTATGGGAGGGGTGGGAGGAGGATCACCTTTGCACAAGGGTCACCTAAGACTATCCGCATATCAGATACATTATGTTTCATAATAGCAGCAAAATTAAAGTTATGAAGGAGCAATGAAAATAATTTTATGGTTGGGGGTCACCACAACGTGAGGAACTGTATTAAAAGGTCACAACATTAGGAAGGTTGAGAACTACTGAATTAAGAGTTTCAATCTGTAGCCCAGGTTAACTTTGAACACATGTCAATCCTCCTGTTCTCACCTACCAAATTCTAAGATTGCTTGCACTAGCATGGTTGCCTTCAAGCACTTCTGAGTGACATTCTACCCTAGTATCAGTAGTAATATGTTGAGAGTTATACGTGGACCTTAGTTTCCTAAGTAAATTATATCTAGGGTATCAGCCATGAAGAGAATTACAGTGATGGTCTTGAAATCCTAGATCAACAGAATCTAGTCCCAAAAGCATCATGGACAGGGCAAACGATTGTTTACTAGGTAACAAATTCAAACAGATTATATAGCATACCCAAATAATTTTGTGATAGTTGTATGCTTTGCATCAACATGTTCTTGTACGCTTCCCCTTCCCCCCCATCCCCTGCCCACCTCTTTCCAGCAATATTCAATTCAGGTTTCCTCTTTACAAAGAGACTTTGGGCCAGTTGGGTAGACAGTAATCGAAAGGGAATTTTGGGAAGAACAGAGCAGAGTATTGATTGATAAAGCCAGATAACATGGGCCCTTGAAAGTCATTGTTTGTATATGACTCTAAAAGAAGAACCAACAAGCAAAACAAAAATTCCAAACCAAACAAGGCCTACCACTATGTTTTTGAAGACAAAGAAGACTGAAAATACTATTTTTTTGTGCATGACATCTCACTTGCTTGTCTAGAACTTGCTGTGTAGCTGAGGTTGGTCTTGAGTTCCTAACTCTCTTGCCTCTGCCTTCTAAGTGCGGGGATTACAGACATGCACCATTCAACCTGGCTGGAACTGGTATTTTAGTAAGATTAGTTCACCTGTCAGCAATTGGGATTCAGTGACCAGGGAGAATAATCATGACTTTATCCTGTAATTATTTATTATTTGTGAAGCTTTATCAATACTTACCAGCAGGCTAACTTTTCTATAAGTAGCACTTTAAAAAGATTCCACATTATGTCTAGGCATGGTAGCACACACCTGCAATCTCAGCACTGCAGAGGCAGAGGGGCAAAGAGACAGAGGGGCAGAGGCAGGATTGCTTCGAGGTCAAGTATTAGGCCAGCCTGGTCTACATAGCATGTTTAGATCAGTCTCAGCTACATAATGAAACCTTGCCTCCCAAAACTAAAAACACAAAACAAACAAAAAACAAAACAAAAACCATATGAACTAGGAAAATTTTGCTTTAATGAGAAAAATCTAGGCAAAACCAAAACTTAGTAATTTCATACATTAAGTTTTAAGAAAACAAAAGTTTTAGGGGGAACATGTTTCCTCTACCAATTTGAGAGAGAGATAAAGAAAAGTAAACAAGACATATGGTTTGGCTATGAAGCATTACCACAAACGGTTCTCAATTGTTTCCTAGGTAACAGCTCTTAGAACAGTTTTCTATAGTAAAACTTTCTTGGCTTGTTTGGAAGGTCTAGTCCCCAGTCGGCAATAATTTTAGGAGGTTCCAGAAACACAAGGAGGTAGGCTCTAGCTGAAACGATGGGAGGATGTCCTCGGGGTTGTTTCTTGTGCCTGTCTGTGCTTTCTGTCTGCCATTAAGTGAGAAATCTGTCACATGTTTGCGACACCATGATGGTCTATCTGACCCTGGGCCAGAATCAATAAGGCCATAGACTATGGACTAATAAAACTGTTAGTCTAAACAAACAAATAAAAAGATAATGAACTTTATTTATGATTCACTAACACAAATATTAACTGCTTTAGTTTGAAGCGTCTCAAACTAGGTTTGCAAAGAACTAGTTTACTGTCATCATAGATTATCCAGTGACAGAACACGTAAGTGGATGAAATGTGATTGTTGGTTTGCAGTGCTAACCTGTACTGAGGGCCTCACACACACAGGCTAGTCAAGTTCTCTGTGAGAGCTGCACTCCCAACCGTGGGCTTAAGAGGTACTTACTGTGCTGCCCCTTCCCTGAGGAGATTGTCATTATTAAGTAGTAGCCGGACATCTGAGGAAGAAAGCATTGGAATACATTGAGTACAGAACAAACTCAAGAAATTTTGGTCCATTTCTAGAATATATTTTTAAAATTTAGGGTTTGCAAGATGAGTCTTTTTTATGTATACTCCATGTATGGAAATTCTAAACATGCTAATGAGTAATGGACACTAATGTCCATAGGTTCCTATAGAATTACGCCTAAGGTTGAGTCTGAACTCTTTTTGTGGTCATCCTTGCGCAGGGGCCATGCTAATCTTCTCTGTATCGTTCCAATTTTAGTATATGTGCTGCTGCAGCGAGCACAAGTCTGAACTCTGATCCTCCTGCCTCCACCTCCCAAGTGCTAGGATTACAGGTGCACACAACCATACCTAGCAAAGGACTATGGGAAACCAAGACTTCTTTTATGTTTTAGAGTTTGCTCTCACGCTGTAGTTCAGGCTTCCCTGAATCTGTAATCGTCCTCTGTCAGTAAATTAAGTGCTGGGATTACAGGTGCGCACCACCACATCCACCTAATGTCTAATAGATGAAAATCTGGATGAGATGAGAAAGGTGGATGTATAAATTTATTGAATAATTTTTCTGGTTTTTGTTTTGGAAACAAAGGCTCATTCTGTACCTTAAGCTAGCCTGAAACTAAAGTTATTCTCCTGCTTTAGCCTCTTGGGTACTGGAATTACAAGCAGGGGTCATCATTTCTGGCTGAATCTGAATCTTTTTCTTTTTTCTTTCGTTTTGTTTTTGAAACAGGGTTTCTCTCTGTAGCCCTGACTATAGTAGAACTTGCTCTGTAGATCAGGCTGGCCGTGAACTCAGAGCTCTGTCTGATTCTGCTCCAAAGTGTTGGAATTAAAGTGTGCCACCACTACCAGGATGAATCTGAAATGTTAATAAACTTCAGATAGAATCTGTACAGGCACAATAGTACTGAGAAATGCCCTTTAGTATGGGACTTCGTGAGGAAAGACAGTGAGAATTGAAGTTTTCACTTATCATGATTAGAAAACTAAAGGCATAGGGGGAATCAAAAAGTAAAAATTTAAAAAAGTCAATTTACTGTCATTTTTTAAAAACATGAAGCTATTTAAAAATTTTATTCACTTATTTTTAGTTTTGAGACAGTCTTTAGTCCAGGTTGTACTGGAACTTGCAGCATCCTTAGTGCTGGGATTGCAGGTGCGAGCGACTAAGAGCCACTAAGACAGCCACTTTCCTTAAGTCTTTGCTTACTTGGGAGTGGCATCCTAATTAATGGAGGAGGCAAGATTAAGTATTTGATTCAAAGCTAGAGCTAAATCCTAACTTTTATATTTAGTAGCTGAGTGGCTTTGAACAAATTATTTCAATGTTTCTAAATGCTGATTTCTAGCAAAGCTGTAACAGATCACTACGAATCAGGAGACAGCAAGGATGAATCACAGCTAGGCATGTTGGTGTATACCCACGTTTTAGCACTCAAGAGTTCAAGGCCAGTCTGGGCCACAAAAGACCAAAATTTAAAAGGAGAAAGGGCTGGTGAGATGCCTCAGCAAATAAAGGAGTTTGCTTCTAGGCTTGAGGACTTGAGTTCAGTTCTCAGGACCTACGTGGTAGAAGAAGAGACCGACTCTCACAATTTGTCTTCCCCTCACCAAAATAAATAAATGGAATAAAAATTTAAAAAGAAAGGAAAGGGGGAAAGCTAAATGATGACAATAATTAAGGAAGGCTTAGAACAGCTCAATATTAATCTTTACTTACCATTGAATACTTCATTAAACTCCCCAGGGGGTGCATGAGTGATAAATTTAGCGGCTATGCGTACCTAAAGAAAATAAAATTTATTGTAAGTATATTGTGAAGAGAAACAAACAGCTGGGTATAGCTGGGCACTGTCTAATCCTAGCACTTAAGAGACACAACTCAGAGGATCTTGAGTTGAAAGTCAGTCGGGCAATAGACTGTATTTACCTCCCCCAATCTCCCCCACAAAAGCCCAACGAGACAATTTAAAAAAAAAAACACCAAAAACATGTAAATGCTATTAACAAATCATAAAAATTTTGTGTTTTTTTTTTTATAAAAAAAAAATCTCCCCTTCACACACATGCAGTGCCCATAGAGGCCAGAATAGGATGTCATATCCCCTAGAACTGGAGTTACAGACAGCTGTGAGCTGGCATGTGGGTGCTTGGAATGAAATTCCAGTCCTCTGGAAGAACAGCCAGTGTTCCTAACTGGTGCGGAAGAATTGTGTATTCTGTCAATCATGTTTTAAATAAATGTTGATTGGCCAGGCAGAAGTTGTAGGCGGGAAAACCAAACAGGAAATGAAAATGATACAAGGAGAGCAGGAGAATTCTGGGGAGGAGGAAGCTGATTCCTCCCACTCCTGCCCAGGCCACCAAAGCAGCAGGATGTGAGCTGCCCCACTGAAAAAGGTACTGAAAACGGCTAAAATAGATCAGATAAATGGGTTAATCAAGATGTGAGAATTAGCCAGTAAGAGGCTAGACCTAATGGGCCAATCAGCTTTATAACTTATAGAGATCTATATGGTTGATTTTCTCTGGGGCCTGCCGGCTATGGGGTACCAGGCGGGACAGAAAACACAAACAAGCAGGCCCAACATGTTACACCTAACCACTGATCCATCTTTTCAGCACCATTATTTGTTTAAAGATTTATTTATTTTTATTAACATGTGCATGTGTCTGTATATGTGCCTGTATGTTCTGGTGGTACCCAAAGGCCAGGAGAGAGCATCACTGGAGCTGGAGTTACAGGCAACTGTAAGTCATCCATTACCAGCAATGCATCTCTGATCATCTGCAAGGGCAGCAAAGACTTCCCTGCTGGACCATCTCTCCAGCTGCTCTCCAGTAGCTTTTTGCAATAAGATATCTTGTAGCTCAGGCTGGCTCAAACTTGCTGCATAGTTGCTCTGACCACCCTTCCCTCTACAAGGATTATAGGTGTGCACAGCCAGTTCGATGTGATGCTAAGATATAATTCAGGGCTTTATGCATACTAAGCAAATACTCTACCTACTGAGCTACTTTCCCTGCCTACAGTATCTCTTGAAATAAAAATTTATTTAAAGTTTTACTGTTTAGAAGCCTTTAAATTTTCTTTCTACAAAACACCCTAAAGCTGTTTCTATCAATATAGATTACTTTTTAATATATGTACTAACAGTCATTTTGAATTTTTAGAAACATTTATTTTTAAATGTGTGTGTGTGTGTGAGAGAGAGAGAGAGGGTGGGGGGGGATTATGGGAATCACATATGTTCAGGAGGAGTCCATAAGAAGGCAACAGATCTGACAAGGAGTTGTGAATAGCCTTGTGGGTGCTGAAAAATGAATGCCCAAGTGGGTCTTCTGCAAGAACAGTAAACACTCTTAACCACTGAGCTATATCTCCAGCCCTTTGAATTTTTGTTTAAATACTATTAATCAGCTTTGGTTAAAATATAAAACAATCACAAATAAATCAAGCTATAATCTCTCAGAAACATTTTAAGCAAAATTAAATATTCCAAACAAAGTAAAAACCAATATCAAATTGCAATTACCTAAATGCAAGGTTTAGTACTAAGGATGTGATTTACAAATTAAAAGGAGGGAAGTCATATGATCATCCCAAATCTTATTGAAAAAAACAAAAACATAAACATTATATCTTAGAATCCAACAAATTATTTGTTTTGGAAGCAACACAGAAAGTTTCCTTCACCTGCTAACTGGCTAGAATTCTAAGGTAACCTACCTATTAAAGAAAATTAGCACTGTCACCAATTTTGAAATCTAGACAAAGCTAACTTCTATCATTTTTACTACTCAGCTTATATGACAGGCATAAAGCATTACGGAGAAACTTTATTCTATTACTCATTGTGGCCTCCCTCTTCTGTCCTCTATCTAACTAAGGCTATCCTCCCCATCGTGATCAGCTACTACAAATGGATGCTAGAATGTTAGGATCTATTCTGCATCTCATTTCTTTTTCTATACTTAACTTTCATTTTATGCTCTGGGCAGTTCCACTTTTCAGTTCACTAACATGCTCTTCAGCTATGCCCAGTTTGCTATTCAGATAATTATTTTAACTCTCCCAAGTTTCTGATTTTTAGTAATTTCCCTTTATGTATACAATTATCCCCATGAGGGCATTAGTTATTCTTGTTTGGTGCTCCTTTAGCGTTCCTGTTCATTTTACCTAGAACCTGTCTCTAGTTCTTTGAAGGGCAAGGCTAGGCATGCTGCTTCTGATCAGGGTACTAACATTTTACCTGTTCTAGTGGGGAGGGAAGGGGAGCAAGGTTTCTCTCGGTACAGCACTGGCTGTCCTAGAATTCACTCTGTAGACCAGGCTGGTCTCACTCACAGAAATCCATCTGCCCCTATTCCCCAAGTACTGGGATAAAATACAGGTATGAGTCACCATACCTAGCATAAACACCTTATCTTTTGAGTAAGCCTAAAGTACCCTTAGTGCTGCAGGCCTCTCTTTTTTCGGAGGTTTGGAAGGGATTGATATGGGACCTCAGATAGCCCAGTCTGACCTCAAACTCAGTATGTAGCTCAGGCTGGCCTTGAACTCCTGCTTCAGCCAGTTCTGGGATTGCAGGTGTTAGACACTGTGCCTAGGCTCAGTGTTCATTCTCAATGCTATATTCTGAGAATAAACACTAGTTTTCGGATAGCGTAGCCTAAATGGAAGAAAGCTCAGCTAATATGTTTTAAGACTGTCTGGGTCCTTTCCGCCTTATTCCTGGAGTTCCTCTAGATGTGCTTCTATTTGCCATTTGACAATATTTTCATATAGAAATCTAACAGTTATAAAATTAGCTCTCTTTGACTCTTCTGGAATTAGCTTTGTAGACCAGGCTGGCCTTGAACTCACAGAGATCCACCTGCCTCTGCCTCCAGAGTGCTGGGATTAAAGACCTATGCCACCACTGCCTGGCTGCTCCCCGATGCTTAATGTGCCACACAGGAAGATGTTAAAATCACAGAGGTAGAGCAAAGACGATTATCTAATAGATAAAGCAGTTCCTATTTCCAGATTAGCATACTTCATACAATTTTAAGTTCTTTATGGTCACAAAGTTCAGCCATTTTCTCTGTGTATATACATCGATATGCATCTGTCATGGTAGGTATGTGGAGGAAGGTCAGAAGACAACTCTTCAAAGTTGGTTCTTTCCTCCACCTTGTGGCATCCAGGGAAGAACTCAAGTTCTCAGGCCTGTACACAAGTACAAGATGATCCACTGGGTCATCTCACAGGCCTCCAAGCCATTCTTAAGCAGCAAAACCTGTCTCACAAGCCCTTTGAAAATGAGCTGGACACTGGTACACTACTTAAGCCTAAATGGGAGCCGGCAAGTTGGTTCAGTGAGTAAAAGCACTTGATGCCAATCTGTGCTTGATGCATTCAGAATCTACACAGTGGAAGCTGAGAACTGATTCTCTCAAACTGTCTGCTAACTTCTACATGTGCAAGTACACATTCAAGCAAATCCACCCTGAACAAGTAAGTAAAATGTTTAAAATAATAGCATCAACAGGAAAACTTAAAAAAAAAAGACAAAACAAAGTCTAAATGTAGCTGTGAATGAATGTAGTTAGTGGCTCACTCATGAGTGTCCTATAATCCCAGCATTTGGGAGCTGAGACAGGAGGGACACCTCAAGTTCAAAGATAGTCTGGGTGACACTGAGAGATATTCAAGCCAGCCAGAGTTACTGTGTAAGAAACCCTATAAGACTAAATGTTTAAATATGATTTTCTAATGTATATCTTCCTTAGTATATAAAACAACAGTTGGCTGTTGGTATCATAAGTGAAGAAATTTGTATATTTCTTTGAACAATAAAATGTTTTCTTTCTTTTGTTTGTTTTTTGAGAGTTTCTCTATGTAGTCCTGATACTCCTGGAACTAGACCAGACTGGTTTCAAAATCAGAGATCCAGCTGCCTTTGCCTCCCGAATGCTAGGTTAAAGCTGTGCAGCACCATGCTTATCTGTGGCATATGAGCTGAGTGATCATGGTCACATTTTGCCAGTGTCTTTCTCATGACAACACAAAAACATGAAACTCCCCTCAGGAAAAGTGCTTATATTCTAAACGTAAGTATGTGCTGATTCCCACATCACTTAAAATACATCTTCTAGGCAGCAGCGGCAACACAGTCCTTTAATCCCAGCACTCATTCAAGGCCAGCCTGGTCTACAGACCTAGTTTCAGGACAGACAGGGCTATGTGAAGAAACTGTATTTTGAAAAACAAACAAAACAAAAACAAAGACCATAAAATAAAAACAAACAAATCTAAAATACAAAATTCAAGGATGGTAAAAGAACGAATTGAGGCATTGTCAAAATGCTGACGGCAGCAAGGAAGGATCTGAACAGTCACTCCTTGACCTTCTATAGATATTCCTTTCCTATCTATAGAGTGTTGCGTGCTCGACAATTTAGGCTCAAATGAGATTAAGTTGAAAAAGAAAAGTAAACCAAAAGTTCTCACCTATTCTCTAAAGAGAGGAGCTCAAGTATGTAACAGTGAGGGAAGAACACCAAGTGGCAGTATTACATTCTGGTTCAAATGCTAGAAAAAAAGCAACTTCCCTGCATTTGAGACCATCAAGAACATCAACAGCCTTTCAACAGTATTTGTTAAACACAATGCCTAAAACCAGGTCAAAATAGTAAGAATTTATATACCCAGTCTAAATTAAATACTAAAGTCAGATCCATAGCCCACCAGGCTCCTCCATCTCAACTCTATTTCTTCTGGATCTGTCTGCCTTAGAAC